ACAAGGGAAGAGGAGTCCTTGGGATGGCCAACAAGGGCCGCCACAGCAACGCCTCCCAGTTCTACATCACCCTCCAGCCAGCCCCCTACCTCGACAGAAAATACGTGGCTTTTGGGTAGGTACGCCGGAGCCTGCCGTCACTGTGCTGCGTGGGAGGTCACCCCGGCCCCGCCAGACACGGCTGCCCGGGAAGAAGCGTCCGTGAAATCCCTACAGCAGCTGCAACGTGGATGCCTCTGGCCATGAGGAGGATGGATAAGTTAGATATGAAGTATCTAGTGACACCCATCCCGCCCTTTCTCTGCCCTGGCCTGGCTCGAGCTGGGAAACCCTATGGCAAAGCTGCCGGGGCCTCTCCAGGACGCAGGGTACAAATCCATGCCTGCACAGCTCGGTAGGGGCCGAAGGTGGGCTCTGACGGACAGGGGGGTGTTCAGCAAAGCCTCACGAGCTGAAAGAAGTTACTTGAGCAAATGCATGTTGGGAGTTTGTTCTCGGTAGGTTAATGTATAGGGCTGGCCCTGTTAAGATTTTTAGATTTTCAGGCATGTAATAAGGAAGATTACTGCTCTGAGCAGTTTGCTTGGTGTAAGAGAGCAAAATATCATAGAATCATAGAATGGTTTGGGGTTGGAATGGACCTTAAAGACCATCCAGTTCCAACCCCCCTGCCATGGGCAGGGACACCTTCCACTAGACCAGGTTGCTCAAAGCCTCATCCAGCCTGGCCTTGAACACTTCCAGGGATGGGGCATGTATGTATTACCAGAGAGAGAGAAATGCACAGCGCAGATTCCGTGTACCCACCTCATGGAGAAAGGCAGCATTTTTAAAGGGAATGAAAAGCATTAGGTGTCTAACCTACAGAGAACAAACCTGAAGCGGTTGCTGGCTGGATATATTTATAACCAGCGGCATTCACCTCCAGCTTCTGCCTTGCCACCACACTGTGTAATCTGAAGGGTGTGGGATCCATGATCCTATAGCCAGGCCCTCTTAAATCAGAGTGGGAGTTTAATCCCGAGGGAGCAACAAGCAGCCACTGCATATGATGAGGACAGCCAGGCACTTTCCAGCTCTGCGCTGGCCCAGTCCTTGTGACGTCCCTGCTGGGGCAAGGGCCACCTTGCAGCATCCTCCCCGCTTGGTACCACTGTGCTGGATGGGATGGAGTGGGATGGGATGCAGTACGCAGCTTCCCGGAGCACTACTGGCATCCATCGCCATGCCAGCAGCTCCGGGATGCACAGCTCGTGCTCCCAGCATGGGTGCAGGTGGGCTGAATCGTAAAGATTGCAAAATGTAGGATTGCTTTCAGGATTGAGACTGGCTCTGTGAAGGAAGGAAGGAAATGAGAGTTCTCAGGGAGTCACTTTTAATACTGTCACTTCCGACAGCATGTCTCCTGGATTTTTCTCCTCAAAAGTAATGGCCATTTGTAGCTGGGGCACGCTGATCTCTTTAAATAAATGTTGCTGCATAAAGCCACGGTATTTTCACCTCTCTTTAAGTGCCAAGTAGAGGCTACTTAATGAAGAACTGATGGCATCCACGACTCCATCGCTTTTTAAAGAGCAGAGCGGGTGCAGCTGCTCAGTAGGAAACCAGTGCCTGGGTATGTTACGGCCCCGCACAAGCCAGAGGCTGCAGAGATGGCTCCGGATGGAGACGAATCATCTGTGCATTTTCTCCCTCCTGCAGGCAACTGATCGAGGGCACGGAGGTGCTCCAGAGGCTGGAAGTCGTACCTACGTACAACGAAAGGCCTGCGGTAGCCTGCAAGATTATTAACTGTGGGACCTTCGAGCTGTGATCGCCAGCTGGTTTTCCTGCCTGCTGTAAGGCAGAGCACTCTTTTCCGCTCAGCTTTTTACAGACCTCGATGGCTTTCACTTAAGGCAAAAATAAAAGCACTTCTTGCACACGGGAAAGGCTTGGAAACGTTCTTTTAAAAAGCACTTTTACAGGACCATAGAGAAAGACTTGTGAATGTCTCTCAGTGCCAGTCGACAGTCTGGGAAATGGTGTTAATGCGATTATATATCATATAGTGACAAGCAGATAAAATGCACATATGGCTAAAGCACGGGTGGGCAGATGGCTGCACATCTGTAGGGATAAAGCTAACTGTTCCTGGCTAAATTCTGCCTCTACCATAACCTCCACAGCACAACGGCCCCGCCAGGTTTGCCCCATATAGCTCGTACATACCAGATGTAGTCTGCATATGGCAACTCGGGCATCTCAGGGGAAAGCAGGGAAAGATACTCTTGCAGGGCTGCGGCCCCTCCGAACACCATACATTTGATCCTGCACTGACTACGATAAACTGAAAGTAATGCCCTTGAAATTAGGTTGGGCTGCACCAGGCTCAGACCAGGAAATGCTAGAGCAGGCGTAAGCTTTAGGGAATTATTTTTGACTGATGGTCTCAAATAATGAAAACGTGACTCTTGCCACTAGACCAGAGAAAAGTACTGTTTATAAAGTTACTGCAAGCCAGGAAGCGTCAAGGTTACGTGTGGATGCAAACATATAATACACAATGATGGCCAGTGTCGGTGACTTCTTACATGAGAGGGATCTCTGCTGTACACGGATGCCTTCAGCAGAGGATGGCAGGTAAGCATGAAAAGAAGAGGTGTGGAAGATCAAAATGCAGCCTGGAAAGAGAGGCCATAAGCAAGTGCCTTGGAAGTTCAGAGCAAAGAGCATCCATTCGTTGGGCTCGGACGCAGATACAAGGCTAACCCCGCCCCGCGGTGCCAGGGCTACACACGGACACCCCCTGTGTACAGCTCTCTCGCCTCCGTTTCCAGCGCTGAGAAGGACGCTGCGCTGAGTGATCGGTGCTCCTCGGCTCGCCGCACGAACCCAAACGGTTCATCGAACCCCACAAAACAGCGCCAGTGCGAGATGGGAAAAGCTCAGTTAGAGAAGTGTTGGGAGAGAGCTAATTTTGTCTGAACTTAAGCCCGTGGATTTCCTGAAAAGAAACAATATCTTAAATTTATTTGCTAAATGGGAACAAATTTAACAGATCAGCAGAAGTTTAACTGAATGTCTGAAGAGGGCGTAGACCTTGAGTGATCTCCACATGCTCCGAGTATAGAGATTGTCTTAATTTCAGCAAGGAGATTTAGGGTTTTCTTTACTTACGGTATAAACCAGAAAGATTCTTTAACCTAAAATACCTTTATGTGTCTGTAGCTAGCTAAGGAGCCTTTAACACATTTTGTCCTTTTATTTTCTAAAGCATTCTGTAATCAATCAGTAGACTACTATAAAGGAACTACATCTTCCGTAGGAACATTCAAATCAATTAGACTGCCTAGAGACTACTTATTTTCACTTCATAGTTCTGGGTCAAAGAGAAAAGCACAGTCTTGTGTTTTCTTCACAATATAACACACTTCCTGACAAATTACTTTTCATAAGTAGTAGGGACTATTGTTATGAAAGGATACAGCTTCCAAGCTCAGTATTGGGATGGAGGTTGGTGGCTCTTACTTCTTGCAAGGACTTTAAATTACATTCAGATGTTTAAAGATAAAAGTCTGAGGAGTAATTTTAGTTCTGCATGTTACAGAGGACAGTGCTAAGAGACCAATTAATTGACCTTCTATTTGCTGTTGGCTTGGTTGCCCACGGCAGATCTGCTCTGTACTGCGGCTGCACACCGGTGTCCCCAGAAGGGACCAAGCCAGAGCACAGCAGTCCAAACGACCTGACGTGAGCAGCCGTCAGAGCACAGGAACTCACGCTCCGGCAATGGGCAGTGGCCGGGATCCCTCAGGGCAGACAGACGCCCCATCACATCAAGTATCAGCAAGCTGATCCCGTGCCGAAGGCCAGAGCCCTGGTAAGAAGTATGATGGCTGAATGTACGACAGGCAGGGTGTTGTACACTCGGGATCTAGGAGAGCCGCACAGGGTGACTGGGCAGGGGACAACTGGTTGAAATTGGCCACGTGAAAAACATTATAACGAGAAGAGAAGAGTACAACCAGGAAATGTCAGGCATCATGATCCTTCAGCCAAGCCACAATTACTGTATTTGCATTGGTCACGACAGGACGTTCTGCCAGAAAAAATGTGGTAACAACTTTCATCCAGTATTAAGTTTTGAGTGTGTCTTTCAACCCTGGTTCCCCACTGCCTGCAAGCTGGATACACTTGAGGAGACCAAGGCAATGAACAGTGAAAAAGGATAGGAAGAATCTCCTTAATCTCAGTCCAAAATGATGCTTTGTGCTGTATTTTCTACTGTAACTTACTGGCCTCCTGTGAGAGAGCCAGACCAGAGAAGTGGTGCGTACAAGCAGCCACAGGACATGCAAGTCCAGAGGCCAGCCATGGGTCTCCAACAAGCCGGGGAATTCAGGGGTGGTCTGCAGACGGGGAGGTGACGTCTTCCATTGCCAACTGCTGGTTTTGGAGAAGTACCCTTCCCAGCAACTGTATAAAAACACTCCTTTTTATAAGGGGCAGATTGGCAGCAACCTGCATCCTGCAAAAACTATTATTTTACGGGATTACGGAGTGTTTTACTTACTTAATGTGTCACTGCTGTAAGAAAAATTGCCATCTTTCAGGTTTTGCTTCATTACAGTTTTATGCTGAGCTTCTTACTCCAGCAAACCAGTCTCTCAGCTCTAAATAAAAAGTGATGAAAGAAGCCGTTGGACAATATACACAGTCATTTTCTTCATACAAGCGTATGTGTTAAAAGCCCAGGGACGGCGTGCTAATAAACCATGGACAGTAGGCCCCAGTCGTCACCCCTTACTACCTCAAGCTCTGAGCAGACAAAAGCTGGAGGATGAAGTCACTAACCACAATGTAGTTTACCTAATCTGAGGTCAGAATGTTTCTGAATCTGGCCCAGGAGGGCTGCTAAGGTCAACAGAAATCGGTAGTGTGATCAGTATCTGCGCTGACCTGGGGAAGCCCTGGGATCTCTGAAGCATATGTTCATTTAAATTATATCAGGCGAGCCTAAGACAACGTATTTCATGTTCCTACAGACAAGCCTCACTTTCCCTTTTAGACTGCCATGGCTACAGCTCTCTGCTGTTGTCCCTTGTACCCTTATTGCTTGGGATACACTTAACCACTGTTGACCCCCAGCTGGAAGTCAGAGACCGAAGAGCTCCTGCCAGCGATTCCAGGGAGAAAAAAGGTGCTCCAAAGGACGGGTTTTGATAGAACTTCACTGAGAATACCAACTATGCAGCGTATCAGATGGGCCAGAACGATGTGATACAGCTACTGCATGAAACAAATGGGTAAGTGGAATGATTTAACAAACAATATAAAGAATCTTCACACTGTAATTCTGGGAGGGTTTAGGACCTAAGAAGCAATCATGAATGGCCAGCTCAACAGAGATCAATTGTGCCCGCACCTCAGATGCTGCAAGGGAAGAAGCATGATCCGGATCATCAGTCATCAGGGCGCTGCAAGAGCCAGAGGGACCCAAGACCAGGCATGAGCAGGACTGCAGCACCCGTGGGGTTGCAGCTCAGGCAGAGGCCAGAGGCAAAAGCCTCAGCCTAAAAACATCTACTGAGAAGTTAGGGAGCCCCTGCTGAGGTTCCTTCTCTTGAAAAGCTGCCAGGCTGGCCGCGGCACCTTTTATCAGCCAGCCAGCCTTGAGTGCACAGCTCAACTTCCAGGCGCAGGGGGAACGCTCCAGCCCTGGCACAGGCCAGAGCCACTGCTGTATGACACCATCACCAACAGAAAAATGCATGTTGCAAACATGGCACACGGATATACCATCGCAAGAAGACTCCGTCTAAATATTAGCCTTATTTTTCTTTGGTTACCTAAACCAGCCTGACCTCGGTCTGTGGTTGGTCCCAGGGGCGCAGGTGAAATGGTTATTCCTTCTGCCCCATCTCGCCTCTACCCATTGCCTTCCATTCTTCTTCTCAAAACACCTCTCTTTGGCTTGCCTTAAAGCATTGGCCTGTGCCACTATCTCTAAAAGAGCTAAGAAAAATCTTTTAGCGTTATCACATCCTCACGACCACTCCACATGTATATTATAATCCATTCCTGATGTTAAAAGCAGCCTTTCCACCCCTCCTGGTGCCTGTACCGCAGGACGCTCGAAGGGGCACCAGGCACAGCTCCACCTTGCTCGCCTCAGGCAAGCGGGTTGTACAGTGCCAAAGTTCTCACCCAGGATTTCTGCTGGGGACAGACCCACGGGCACCTCAGACGCACATTTAGATGTCCTACAGCACGGAATCGCAGCCCCGTGCATGCTCTAGGGCTGTGTCCAGACACACCTTTACAGCGGGATTTACTCCCGTGACTGTTTCACAACGCAAGGATTAACCAAGGTCAAGAAGCTCTGAGCGCGGGAATCGATGCATTATATTTCTGCATGAGCACAGAGGTGGTGGGCGAATGGCACCAGAATCCAATACCGCATTGTTATGCAGCCGTATGAAATACCCCAAAACCAATTTGGATGGTGTATCTTTCATGTTAAAACACCCACCGTGTATTTACACTTCACACACACTTCTCTTTCCATGTACATGAAATTACAACTTAGAAATGAGAACAGATGTTTACAAATTGAACAAAATATGTGTTCCCTTCAGTTTATCTACTGATTTTTTTTTCATTTATTGCTATCATCCCAAACTGCAGGACACTCCTCCAGAACCTCTTCAAAAGCCCCATTACCACATCTTCACAGAATCACAGAACGGTTTGGGTTGGAAGGGACCTTAAAGACCATCCAGTTTCAACCCCCCTGCCATGGGCAGGGACACCTTCCACTAGACCAGGTTG